ATAGATAGATAGATAGATAGATAGATAGATAGATAGATAGATAGATAATTAACTGTAACTGCATAAATAAAATGAATAACTACAAGTATAAAAGGAATGAATCAGATAGTATGTCTAAATTGTAGTAGTAATTAGAAGGACTATCTTCCTTAATTTCTCTTGATCGTTCACACCTGCTGTCCCTCTTAGTTTCTTGTCTGGTTGGGTGTTCTACAGTCCTGACCTGACCCAGTGGTTCCGTTTACCGCATTCCACCCGCACGCGTAACCATAAACAACCTGGCTGCGGACATGAGGGGGCAGGAAGTGCACGAGAGTAGGAATTCCACTCTTTCAAATTACATTATTACCAGTTCCAATGATGCTTTCTCTCTACACTGTCAGCACGCACACTCCTCATGCAGGAGGCCGTTTTGTGTGTGTGTGTGTGTCTTTGTGTGCCCAAGACCCAAAACAGGCTTCTATAGAATTTCGGATCTACGGAAATAATATTCCCTGATGTTAAAAAATAAGTAGTTCAAAGCTCATTAAAAGAAATTCTTGAGACAAAAACTCGGTTTATCCAAAATGTTGCCGGCAGACTACCAATTTAATGAAGACATTTTTGATAAAAATGATTTGGTGTCACCAACGACATAAGATTGCCTTTTTCATATACAAAGCTTATAGATCCACAGGCTATGAGGAACACCTATGTTTTACTGCATCCTACCCATATATATGTTAAACAAATAGGGAATAATCCGAAATAAAATTGCCTGAATTTTATGACCATTTCAACTTTTAGACCGAGGCCCTCACTATATTTGTTGAAGTCGTTCATTTGGGCTGTCTGCCTCTGGGTGTGAAAAGCTGTCAAATAGGAGCGTTTATCCAAAAGGATCGAATGATAACTTGAAAAGACTCTTTGAAATGTATATTTATGTAAAATGAACAGGGATTCTTATGAGTCTGTTATAGCTTTCCCGGTCGCTGGTCTGCTTGCCTCCGTCTTGTTCAAATAATGTTGGAACATGTTCAATTTGATGCTTGAAAATTCACCTAACAATGTTTGCCTTAGTGTACTTTTACCATTAGATAGAAAAAGGTGAGCACTTGGAAACGTGCTGGATTCTTGTCTTTTATAGATTTTTCAATGACCCCCGAAAAAACGTATATTTTCTTTTTGTACGTCATTAATTATTGTTCGTTAATTTGTGTGAATGAATATATTTCTCCTTTTTAAATTATTACGATTTAGCCATTGTGGGTTGAAAAAATAATCAGAAATGAACGGACTTCACGTGAGGATGTCCTCTATGGGGAACATTTCTTTATCCAAGTTTTGGAAAGGTCTCTAAATTGTCATTTTGATGCAGTTGCTTTTCTTATGTCAACTTGATTAAAATTAATTTGTTTTTTTTTTTTATGTGTGTGTGTGTATAGTATAGTTGCCTTAGAAAAAGCGCGCACAGCGCAATCAACATTCCTCAGCGCTTCAGTTCAAGTTTCAGTGGCCTTGTTTTGTTTACGGATTGTGGACATCCTAGTTTACAGCTTTGTTGTGACATGGTGCGCGTGCACACTGCGGCTCAAAAGCCCAGGAAGGTTTCAGGTACGCTACTTCAATGGAGAATAGGTCAAAGAAGGTGGACTTGAGACAGCTATATGAGGCAAGCATTGGTCAAGTAGTGAATTTGCTTGAGATAACAGCATTTATAAACCGTTTAGTCAGCTTCTGAAGTTATCCGTTAGGTGATGGTCATTCTTTTTTTAATCAAAGTTATTTGAGCTGATACAAAATTAAGATAACTTATTGCCTAAAGCTAATATATGATAGGCCTATCTGATGGATCTGGTCAAAGAAAAAAAACGACTGCGCAATAACTTACAAGGCTATAATTGTGTTTAAAGAAATCTTATGTCAGTGTGTTTAGAGTTTAAGTTTAAGCTAACTAACTGCCATTTAACATGGATATTCGGGGACCACCAAGGGGTCTTTAAGGGGTTAGATTAATTGGATAAAGCATAGGAAAATTAATAAATAACATAGCCTAATTCATAAAAACACTTTATATAATAGCAATGTAATCTTATCTGCTGTTTTAACTGTCCCGTTTTAGCCCTCCGTGAGCTTTTCATTCCATGTTCTCGTTTTTTTTTTATCTTATTCGTCTAATGCAGTTGTCAAACCAGCAAGCTCTTTCATTTTAAAGTACATTTATTTTATAAAGGTCTTCATTCGAAACTTTGATGGCTGATTCCTATTTTTTTTCTGTTTCTTTTTTGTTTGTTTGTTGGCCTGTTTTTTGCGTGTGGCACCTCGTAAAGGAGAGCAGTGTCACACACTTTCTCAGAAACACTTAAGACTAACAACTCCCGAAATTGGCCTTCTTTTTTCTAAACTCAAACCATTTTGTACAGTATTGTAGGTCTGTTTGTTGGCCATAATACAACTCTAATCAGCAACCATAATTATTAACAGTTTAACAAGGCTATAATAAACAGTTTTCGTGCGCTCATGTATTTTCACACAAATGGCACGAAGAGGTGCAAAAGTATTCTTTAAACTTTTTTCCTTTAATGATATTGCTGTTAGCCTGTTGCAGAATGATATTTCTCTCTCAATCTCATGTTAATTGATAGATAGATCAATTAGCCCAACGTATTGAATGATGTCATGCTTGAACCAAGTCAAATGCTTACAAAACAACGGCATAATGACGGTGTTGAGATGATCTGGAAATACTCTCCGTCTTAAACATGTGACAAAGACATTGGGACAAGAAACAACATCGCGCTGCAAATGCTTCAAACTGGGAGTCTGCGGTAATTGCACGATGAGAGATGGTTGGCTCTCACCGCGGTTCAGCTGCTGCGGCCCGGCTATAGACTGGGTGCAGGGTGATGACACACATACCAATGCTGTTCCACCTGCGCACAGGCTCCCAGAGCACGGAAATACACTCCAAGAGAAAGCCAAGGGGACCCTCATGGGTGGCCGCAGAAATGTATACCTCTTCACGCACTCCCCTCTCCGTTGTGAGATATAATTCAGCAGCATTGCTGTCCAGAATTACTTAGAAAACTTTTTGGACCGATTTATAGTCTGGGTCTTGGCAGATGACATATACATTTCGCTTCTCTGTGTCTCATAAAACATGGATTGCGATTGTTATGTTGACAGCATTGAGAAAATCAATATTCTTGTTGTCTTTTGTCCACCCCGGATGAGTTATTGTGCGCTGAAAGGCGCGTGAAAGCAACACAAGATATTTTCTATCTTCTTTTAAAGATTTAGTTTTTTGCTTGCTTTGTAATCAAAACAGAAAAAGAAAATATCCTAACAAACCGTAATGCCACTTATCTTCCGAGTGTGATACTGCGCGTTTCAACGATTTCATGCAATCTGTTGTTAATGGTATCCATTCCTATTCAATCGTTGTCAACAAATGGGTGTTTTTTGCTCTCTTTCTTTTAGCGCAATAATACGTTTAAATGCTCATATTTTCACTGATAAATATAATTTTCATATACGAGAAGACATTAGGAGGCGGGAACTAAAAACAGACACAAATCACAAAGTGCTACGTCGCTGCACAGACAGTATTGGAGAGGAATTAGCCTGTCGGTGGCCTCACAAAAAGAAAAGGGCTGGGCTTACTGACACACGAACCACAACTTGAGTTGCGCATTCAGAATCCAGCTTTACAAAATTTCGAACTGAACGGAGAAGATCTGCTGTGTGAGACCTACTGAGTTATAAAAGTTAGAATTGTCTGTGCGCTTTCAGCTCGAGGTGCATCCTTATAATCTGCAGGAGAGACCTCCGATAAGCGAGCAAACACTTTTGATTTTCAGCGGTTGAAACCGGGCTGATTTTTGTTCAGTGTGCGCGATGATGGCCACCTACCAAACCCCGGAGGATGACCCAATGGCTTTAATGATCCACGACACCAACACAGCCAAAGAGAAAGAGCGACAAAAAGAGGAGCCCGCCCAGGACAAAGTGTCGGAGAAGCCGGATCCGTCTCAGAAACCACCGTACTCCTACGTCGCTCTCATTGCCATGGCTATTCGGGAGAGTTCGGAGAAGCGCCTCACCCTCTCTGGTATATACCAGTATATTATCAGCAAATTTCCTTTCTACGAGAAGAATAAAAAAGGCTGGCAGAACAGCATCCGGCATAACCTGAGTCTAAACGAGTGCTTCATCAAGGTTCCGCGGGAGGGCGGCGGGGAGAGGAAGGGGAATTACTGGACACTCGACCCAGCCTGCGAGGACATGTTTGAGAAGGGGAACTACAGGAGACGCCGCAGGATGAAGCGGCCTTTCAGACCTCCACCGACGCACTTCCAGCCAGGAAAAGCCTTGTTCGGAGGAGACGGCTACGGCTACCTGTCCCCGCCCAAGTACCTGCAGTCCAGCTTCATGAACAACTCCTGGTCGTTAGGCCAGCCGCCTACCCCCATGTCTTACACGTCCTGTCAGATGGCCGGCGGCAACGTCAGTCCAGTGAACGTGAAAGGGTTGACAGCACCCACGTCATATAACCCCTATTCCCGGGTACAGAGCATGGCGCTGCCCAGCATGGTGAACTCTTACAACGGCATGAGTCACCATCACCACCCCGCTCATCCCCACCATGCGCAGCAGCTGAGCCCGGCCACCGCGGCGCCGCCCCCCGTCTCCTCCAGCAACGGAGCGGGCCTCCAGTTCGCCTGCTCCCGCCAGCCCGCGGAGCTCTCAATGATGCACTGTTCTTATTGGGAACACGAGACCAAACACTCCGCGTTACACACGAGGATTGATATTTGAATTTTTACTGAGCGGTCTGTTTATAAATGAGGACTGTGAGACTCCGTTCCTGTGATTTCAAAACAGAGCATACAGTATTTGCTTTAAGAGACTGTTGGGCCCAGTTGACATCCATGAAAGCCGATGAGGAGATACGCGCTTGTTGGTGATGAAAAGGTTTTTACAAAAACGGGAGGTAAAGAAGTCATCCGCACGCACCAGGTAGCACAACCTCCGGGAGCCATATCGTGCGCCTGTTTTACACTTGGACTGATGGCCATTATTTTGTTTTGTAGTACATAATTATTGAAATGAGAACAGTTTTTATTAACAAGGGTATTGCAGACATTGTTGACACTGCTTCAGTTGTATTTTTTGTGTGCGTAAGGAATTTTCTCACCATTACGCACGGCTTACCAAAAAAGTTGCCGAATGATATGAGGACCTGTGAGGTCAATCCTGTAAAATATTATCAAATCACTTCTCGTCTTGGTTTTGAGTAACATGCGCAGAGCAAGACGTGCACGATTAATCTTTGTCTGGAGCGGATTCAAATGTCGAGAGGTAAAAAAAAAAAAAAAAAAAAAAAAAAAAAAATCCGTCAAAATTGCTATAATAATCATTCAGGGCTTTTCAAACGTTTGAATAATTTTTGTATGTAAATGTAAAGTCTCGTGTGACCCCAGCCAGTGCCAGGTTCTGTTCATCTTTTTCATTTTTTTTTTAAAGAAATGTGATTAGTTATGTCTCATGTTCAATTTTAATTAGCACTTTGCCCTCTTTTCTAGGTTTGTGAATTTCTTAATAAACATGTATTTCTTAAAATAATGCGATGGCCATGAAATAATCTGTCTCACATTCTGATGACCACATACAACCAAAAGAGAGAAAGTGAGTAGGTGGTAAGACAGCAGAACTTTACTTTAATATGAGGATATTTTTCATCACATTTATTCATTTGTCTTTTTGGGCGGTCCACTTTTTTTTTAAAGCTATTCATGCGTTGGCTGCTTTAATATCCCACAATTGATCAGTATCGTTTTGGTTAATTTAATCGTTTTATGCGTATGATTTCTTCCATATAAAACGTCGAATAACAGCATTGATTTTAAAATTAAAATAAAACACGGCTTAATTATAAAATCATTATTTATTAATAGTGGCAGCAGGCATTTATAATGTGTAAACACTTCTGTCTCGACATAATTTGCGCAAACGTTTTTGGTTGATACAAAAGATCTAAATGACCAGGCGTTATGTATAATTTCAACGTTTTTTTTTATTTATTTCAGAGCTTTAAATAAGCATTCGGCTCTTGATATTTTACAAACTGTACCATGTAACTTCTTCAGCTAAAGTTCGTATGTGTTTACGTACAAATGCACATGTTCAGTGGTATTACTTGAATGAGAATTCAGTCATACAACACAGCTAACAAAATAATATAACGCATAAGAATAGTTAAACTGACAATAATAACTCCATTAATGATAAAAAGCTAAAAGTTATAGATATCCCGCTAAAAACTCTTTTTCTTGCTTGATATCTTTTTCGCACAAAAACAAAAATATCAATATTCTCTTGTCCAAAATTAAATGTAGGAACAATAATGATAATAAAGTCATGCAACTTACACACATGATCCTTTACCTCCTGAAAAATAATGTATTTAACTTTTCTACAAGTTTAGCTAACATTTCCAGGCGGAAGATTTAATGTAGGCTACTGATCAATCCTTCTTTTTTTTCGAGACTATAAATTAACCAGTTACTCAAATCCACCGTGTCTCAATGTTCAACTATGCGTTACGGTTTCTTGTGGCTGGAGCAGTTTGGGGAGTGAATTGGTTTAATATAGAGGAAAAATGTGTACGTTTATACATATACACACATATTTAATCGTTTCATATATTTATATATATGTATACATTGGCAACAATGCTAAAGTCACTGAAAGGGCGCCAGGAGAGGTCCACCTATGTCCACTCTCTCCTCTGTCAAGCACAACCTCATCACCCCATCAATCATAACAAAAAACAAATAAAGTAAACAAAAATGATAAAAATGAAAAGTAAAACAACAAGTACAACCTAGGATTCGTTTTAACAGGGAACACAACTTGAAAGCTTTACTTTTATGGTCACAGTTGCTTTTGCTGTCATTATGTGATATGTCCAATGGTTATTTCATCTTAGAGGGCGGCGACATCAGATGGAGGCTTTAGTTGAGTGTCAAACTGGCACATTGGCTGGAGGTGTCCTGACTTAGGCAAGAGGCCTGCATTTTATGAGTTAAATTCAAGAAAATTACAACCCATTGGCCCAAAAAGAAAAAAAGCGCATGAATACTAAAACTAACGCTGCAATTTCAATGTTATTTATATATTCTAAAGGCAACTCTAGAAAAAACACGTTTGAAAACTTAAGGAAAAATCCAAGATTCGTAACTCATAAATGCAATGTAACCATGCATCCCTGTAAGGTTTTTCATCGCTGACAGTCCACATTATGTTCTTTGATACCATAGGCGTGCGGAATAAACCCACGAACTATGAACTATAGTTTTTTAAAACATTTACAATTCACAACACTATATGATTGTCAGATACGATCACCTCGTGGTGAATGCACAAGATAGGCCTTAACTGTTTATCCAAAACTTACATTAATTAAATAACACACCCGAATGTAATATTTGAATAAACACGACATGTTACCCCTCTAAAATGCACCAGTGTGCACAGCTGTCGTTTGCCTCGTGTCGGACTGCTGAGGCCAAATGAAAGCAGGAAGACAGTGCCATCATCAGTAGGGTGAGGGGGCAGCCGCAGTCCGAGGAGCTAAAACTGACACTTCTTTTTCCTCTGGTGCGCGAAGGCAGCGTCGACGCAAGCCTGAAATGTAGCTGTGTACATTCTAGGCTTCCTCACATTAATGTTTTGTAAACAATAAGGAGATAAGGGTGCGTTTGAAAGGCAAGTGGATTCCAAACAAAGTTCCAAAAATAATAAATACGTCTGTTTTACAAGAAATAATGTTTCAACGAGTGTAACTAACCTTTACGGACCACAGGGTCAGACAAAGATACAATGATTTCCATTTTCAACGGAAAGTCAGAGCTTAAACGATTATGTTTGACTGATTTTCTATGCTGGTCTCAGACAAAGACTCCTCACAGCCTAAGTGAGAAGGTATATTGTCATTTGTTCATATGTGCTAGTGGTCCATGCAGGAGCGCGTCTGCGCAGTTGGCACACTAACTTCATTTCTTTTTCCCCCTCTATTTATTTCTTTATTTATTTATTTATTTATTTATTTATTTATTGTAAAACTCTAAGGCGTGCGCGGTCACGGGCGAGGCAGGTGTGCATTTACGCACAGAGGTTGTCGGTTGAACCAGCCAGGCGGGAACAATGGGCCTGCATACAGGATGTCTTGGGGGTGGGGGGGGGTTGAGACAGATAAGGCCAGCAGAGGTTCACGGCTAAGCAAGGTTGCTTTAACACGGTCACCATGAGGTCTTGTGATCCCTGGCTGTCTCGGATGTGCATGTGTTTTTGGTCTGTTTTATGAGGACAACCGGCAAACGTGCACTGATTTTAGTAAAATACGACATATTGATGGTCGATACCTGATACGTTGAACATCTTCCAAACCGTTTAGAAATTAAATTAACAGAATTATTAACATTAATATGGTAAGTGTGAGGGCAAAAATTGTTCATAGTTTAAGACAGGCCAGCGGGAGTATCTGTTATTCCTTACCTTTTTGCCACATCTGTATTGATCTTTATAGAATATGCACAGAGATTAATATTTCGTCAATCTCTGATTGCTCGTCATTGAAGTGAAAAAGCTTGTGCGGCTTTTTTCGAGCGTCTTTCCGCAGAGTTTTCCTGTGAATAACCATGATTGTAACCCTTGTTGTGCTTTTTGGAGATGACAGATTATAATCAACGAGACGAATGAGGTCAAGTCATTGTGGAGGCAACGCATTTGACCATTGCTTCTTCACCGTCGCAGCTACACACACACGCACTCAGGCGCAAACAGGCGCAGTTTGGAGCGTACCTGAACTCCGTTCCGGGTATGACAGTTCGCATGCTTCAGAGGACATCGGCGATGCGACCCGGCCAGTCAAGTCACACGCAGGTTGCAAGTTTCCCAATGCCTGCACACAATTGCATTCCTGGCATTCTGGCTAATGTTTTAGATCGAGGAGCAACAGTTTCCACTTAGAAGCAGCGGACATCACCCCAAACCCATTGAAAAGGAGAGTGTGGGTCAGCACTGTTTGGTATACATCTGCTCCAAACAGGAAAATATGCAGAGATTTGATTCGCAGAAAATCCGGGAATTGTTCAAAACAGCATGAGTTTTTTTCTCAAATTTTCTTTACTTGGAGCAGAAAAGAACCAATGTTTCAATCTGCTTGCGAAGATGTTCTATTCTGTGCCTAATTTAGAGCTGTTTATTTTCTGATGGCTTCCTCTGGTGAATCTGCAATTTGCCGCGGTGATCTACGTGATGTTTTCGGTGACTGGAGATCCCTATCTTAATGGCAGCCCCCTCGAAACAATAGATTACATGTAATAATTATTTAATAAGCCAAAATAATTGCACTATTGTATGTCTATACACCGCCCCAGTTTATAAATTGAAGCGGTGCGTATGTTAAATGGACTCAAATATCTCTATAAATACACATCAATGTTATCTTTTCGAGGAACAGAAGGGCTGACATCCATAGAAAAAATCATCAGGCTCTGACCTCGGATTGCCTTCAATACACACACAGGCTAAAAGGTTTGGGTGGGAGCTGGGGATCAATACGCTGATTGACTTTAGAGGATATTATCAGATGCTTTCCAAAAAAATACTTTCCAAGCTATTCAAGAATTTCAATTTCACTGTTAATTTCGAAATGATACATTTTCTCGGATCTCCTTCTGCGGACAAAACAAACAGCCGCAATGGTTTGCACGCAGTTCTTTTTTCCCCTTTTTTTTCTGTGCATGTTGCGG